GCTTCCAAAAATGTTGCCAAGAATACTGCAGGGACTAGTCCAGGCAGTTGCCAGGAGTCAACACTGACTCGAAGGCACCAAAAAAGGGAAAAACCCCAACTCAGGCTGAGTTTTGTGACATGCTTATTATTTTTCACTTTTACCATCACTTGTGCCATCTTCTGAGCAAGCGCAGCCCATGATTTTTGGGGCCTCCAACTTTTACAATCTAGAAGAAAGGAGAAAAGATGGGAGTCTGGCCCTGGGTGAGGGGTGTGCTTGTTGGGATTGCAAAAGTTATTTGGGGTCCCAATTCAGGCACCACATCTTACAGTGTTGCAAAGAAAGAGAGCAAGAGATGCCACTCTTGCCCAGCTCCTCCTCTTCCCTACTTCAGTGTCAGTGTTTTAAAAGAGGGCTCTCGAGTAAACGGTAGATTTGGAATGTGTTGGCAGAATTGATTTGATGAGTTAGATCATGTTTCAGAAAAGGCAGGGATGGCTAGTTTAATTCCAGATGATCTGGTTCACTTAATTTCAGAGGAACAGCTACGTGTCTTTACAGCAAACAGAAAAAGTAAACACTAATTATTTTACTGTTATTGGTTTGTTTTCTTCTGGCTTAACCTATTATCTGAATCTAGCCTTAATGGTTTGCAAATTATGGCTTAGTGTGTTGTATGATCCCAGCCAATGATTGTTTATTTAATAAACCATTCTTTAACAAAGTATGGCTTAGCATGGAATCTGTTTGTCTCCTAACTGGGAGTGTGTGATGCTTTCAGAGAAAGATTTTATGGGGTAAACACCTATTTTAAACAGAGAATTTTGTGGGGAACTCAGAGAATGGAGGCATCCATAGAATGTCATCTTCTATTTCTAATCTTGATTCTTAATCACGTGCACCAACAGAAAAAGACATTCATTTAGGACCAAAACTGGAATCATCTTTGACTGGTCGTATGGCAGCCATCCATCTGGAGGCCCTTGGAATGAGCTGTGAGAATAACCTTGAGGAAGCGGAGGAACAGAATTTGAAAAAGCGTCTCAGATTTGAGCGTCCCTAGTTCTCTTTAGGATAAAGGCAGGGAGTGGGGAGGCATATTGAGAGTTACAAGATTGATGCCAGCTCTTCGAGGTAGACCAGACTTGAACACCCAAGTCATTAATACTAGAATTCTTTTATTATAGGGTTACAGCAACAGAATCTTGCAACTCTGAATGTCTCCCCAATCCCTGCCTTTATCCTAAAGAGAACTAGGGAGGGTTAAGTCTGAGGCGCTTTCTCAAATTCTGTTCTTCCTCAAGGTTATTCTCACAGCCCATTACACATACCCGCTAACTCCAACTGGAGCTTTTTATTCTTTAAATGGATCTTCATTCCTGCTGATCCACCTGCTTTATTTTTATCAAATGGATCATATAAGCTTCTATATTCTTTAACTTCTTAGATGCCGTAGAGATGCTACTATCTGAAAGGGAGGAGGAGACCTATGTGGCACTACTGCTCCCTGCTGGACAATCAAAGTTTATGGCATGACACAATCAAAGTGACACAAGCCATTCTGATCCCAGGTAGATGCTACCTAAGAAGATGTGTAGCAAATATCAACAGACATTAAAAGGGAGGGGAAGCAGTTTAGCGTGTTGGTGATGGAAAGACAAGAAAGGAGCACGTGAAAGGCAGTGTTTAATTACTATTCTCAGTTCCAAGCATGCATACAAAAAACCCCCAACATTGCTTCCCCAGAAGAATGCCCTCTGGTTTAGTGCAGCTGAAACCCATATGAAGACATGGAAAGTGGTCCAGGCTGCTTGCCAGTTTCGCATCCCAAAATTCTGAGGTAGATGGACTTTTACATTGTCTTCCAGGGATTACCAGAAAGGAAAGAGGTTCCAGTTCCCAACCATCAGCATGACTGCAGAAAAGTATCCACTGGGGAAGTTCTTAAGTATACTGGAGTATGATACATGAAGGCAGAATAACATGGTAAATTCAAGGCACTACCACTGGAGAACTATGTCTGGAGATCCTATAGAGCCGGTGATGGGCAAATAGAGGAGGTACGGAAGGGTCAGACAAGTTGCAAGGGATCCAAATAGAAGAAGGCAAGGAACCCAATGGGTCCAAGCATTGTTAGATAAGCAGCAGCTGAATGCCACCATTTTGTACGGAACAAAGTTCATTCAAAGGGTCATGAAATTGCCTCTGGCGCATGACGGCCATTTGCAAAGAAAACATGGTATCCTATACCTTGGATAGGTATGTAAATAAGGATGGCAAGCTACTTAAGCCTGCAGGAACGACCTCTTTTAATCTGCTTAACCATTAAGGTTCCAGGAGCAGCACCTTCTTTCAAAACAGGCCATCATACTCTGGGACTTTGGAAGGAAATGCCTTTTTGGGAATGGAGAGAGGGGTCAGATTCAAAAGGGCACCCTTGGACTCTGCACGAAGCCTGAGCTGGAGGCCCGGTAGCTCTAACCTGGAAATGGCAATGAGAAGGGTGCTCAAAAATATAAGTTAATTAGTAATGCGGTTAAGAGCTACTGTTGAGTCCAGGAAGAGGGAGCAATTTCAGCTGGGAAAAAGATGAAAAGCTCTATACTTGGGAGTCCAGCATCGGGGCTCAGCATTATCTAATACTCAACAAGGGCCGGTGTCAATTCCCAGAGGCTCCTGATCCCCTTTTCTTTCTCCTTTCTGCCTATTCCCTTGCCTGCTGAAAAGAAGCAAGAGGCTCCTTCCTTCACTCTCCTTGCATTTCCCCCTCTGCCTAATGACCTCAAAGGGAAGGACCATAGCAGACATAAGTAGCTCCTTGAAGGCATTTCCCCAGCTGCTTCTCTGTCCTGGCCCTGGAGGTGGTGCTGTAGGTTTGTCTTGAATTTTTCCAGGCACATATTCCACGCAGAACTCCCCCTTCCATTCATTGCTTTGTACAGTATGTCTCTTCCTTTTGAGAATCCTAGGCAGATTCTCAAGCAAACCCAAGGCAGAAATAAAGGTTAACTTCATTCAAGGGAGGGGGACCTATATCCAGTAGTATTTTGCAAGGGGGGTGGGGGTGAGCAGGCATTCACAAAGCAGATGCTTCTGTTCCCCCCACCTGTACCTATTATTACACTGGTATTATTTATCAAAATCTCAAGTGTTCTGCTTTGTTTTTAATGGATTAAAAAAAAAAAAAGGAACGACAGGTACTATTTAAGTTCATTGCTATGATTGCAATTTAATCTTGAAATACTTCAGAGTAGATCTTTTAATGTGATTTCTCCTCACCCATCCAACACATATACATACACACGGAAACTTGGAACAGGGTTTTTATCTTACATCAAGGGAAACAACGTGAATGTTTAAATACTCATCAACCTGAGAATGGAACCAATAGCGATGGTGTTATGAAGGGGAAGGTCGTAATCCAGAGCCGGAGAGCCAAAAGCAACAGCAAGATCATGGCTTGAATAATAATTTTCAAGGAACAGGGGCTTTTTAAAAAAATCACATATCTAAAAAGTCATTAAAAATGAACTTGACTGAAGAACAGGGAGCCTTAATTTGACTTTTTAGGACCAGGTCAGAAATTGCCAACTACAGGACTTTTCATACTCAAAGCTTCCCAGCCCTTTCAAATTTCTGATTGAGTCTCATTTAGAACAAAAAGCACAGGCAAGACATTTATAATACAAATGGACATTCTTGCCAATGTAGGATTGACTTTTATATATTTTAAAGCAGTGTTTCTCAACCTTAGCAACTTTAAGATGCGTGGACTTCAACTCCCAGAAT